ATTCATTAAAACTGACGTTCCTTTTGAAGCCAAGATGAATCTTCTTTGATACCTAATATAATGCATGCAAGGTTCCTTGACCAACCATAGGTTCGCCTGAAAATTCTTAACCTTAACTAAAAGGTTCCTAAGACGTTCTATTTTTCCATAGAAATAGATTCGTTCAAAAAAAACTCCAGAAGATGTCGATCGGAAATGAGAAGATTGGTTACGTAAAAAGAAGAAAATGGATTCATATTCCCATACATGAGAATTATATAAGAATAAAAAGAATCTTTGATTTCTTTTTGAAAAAGAGGAATCGGCTTTCTTTGGCCTACTACTAAGAAGAGTATTCCAATTACAATACTCGTTGAGAAAGAATCGTAATAAATGCAAAGAAGAGGCATCTTTTAACCAATAGCAAAGAGCTTGAACCAAGATTTCGACATGGACAAAGTGGGGTATTTGTATATCTAATAGAAGATATAAATGTGAAAAATTGTCTTCTAAAAAGGGAAATATCGAATGAAGTGATCCTAAATTCTGAAATTTGACTATTTTTTTCCCTTCTAGACAAGATATGAATTGTAGAGAAAATGGAATTTCCACAATCAAAGCAAACCCCTCGGATAGAATTTGAGAATATAAATTCTTGTTGCGCGCCAAAAAAGGATCTTTGTTAGAATCATTAGGATAAATAAGAAATTGACACATTCGAATAATTAACCGTTTCACAATTAGTAAACTGGATTTATTCCCATAACCCCGATTTTCTGAAAAAATAGATCTACTCAAACCATGATCATGAGCAAACCCATAAATATACTCCTGAAAGATAAGTGGATATAGGAAGTCATGTGGTTGAGATCTCTCTAGCTGTAAATATCTTTGGATTTTCTCCATTGGAACTTCTACTTGAATCAAAGGTAGAAGGTTTTTTGAGTTATCAAATAATACATAGTGCGATATAGTCAAAACAAGGTATTCTATATTCTAGTAAGAATAGATAGCTCAGACAGGTAAACTTATCAACAGATTTTCCACTCTCTCTTTTTTGATTCATTTCATTTAATTCGTCTATGTTATAGGATAAGAAGATGTTTGGAAATCTTTTATTTTTTAAACCTAATCGCTCTTTTGATTTCGGAAAAAACTTTTATTATCAATATACTGTTTCTTTTACACACACATCTCCATTCCATAATAGAGAATGCCAATAGTTAGGATTCATTTTAAAATATAGAATCCACTCGTGAGGGGAGAAGCCCTTCCCGTCCCAGGCACTAATCCATTTTTAACGTCTAATTAGATCGGGAAATTATTCAAATTAAGAACCGAAGCTGGTTGCTTTTTCTTTCTGATAATTAATTAATTCAAAATTGAAGACATAGGGCCCTATCCATTTATTCATTCGACCTAACTTTATTTTGTTTCGCTCCAAGAATTCGAACAGGGTTTTGTACCGATCCAAAAAATGAAATATACTCAGAACTCGCTATTAATACGACATGCTATTTTTTCTATTTCTTCCCTTTCAGGATCAGTCGCGGTCTTCTAAAGCATACCAAAGGTATGGACGAATTTTTAACTTCATCAAAATGTGTAAAAGATTCTAGTCGCACTTAAAAGCCGAGTACTCTACCGTTGAGTTAGCAACCCGAAGAAAATATAGATTAAAGAAAATTTCAGCTGCACTAAAAAAAAAAACGGATTTTCAAATGAATTCGAAACATAAAAATGAATTGATTAGATGAAAATGCAAGAAATTCTCAGATAAGGGAAAAAAAATATACATAATTCAAAAATTGATAAAGTTAGGGTACGAAAATTAATAGACCCCGTTCACTTATCATGATGAATTATATTTGTTCACTACACTGTTGTCAATAGAAATAGTAGAAAAGAATACAGTGGAAGGGGAGTAACTCAAAAAAAAAGCATAGAAAAACTATACAAAATAATATACAAATCGATACCCCCCCACGGTATTTCTTTAATTGAATCTCATTTGATTAAACGGAAGTTCATTAAAAACTTCTGCTTTCTTTAAAAGATTCTGAACAGTTTCTGTAGGTTGAGCACCTTTCTCAAGGAAATATAGAATAACAGGAACATTGAAATAAGTTTGATTCTTTATTGGATCATAAAAGCCCACTTTTTGAAGATCTTTTCCTTCTCTTCGGGATCGAACATCAATTGCAACGATTCGATAGACGGCTCATTGGGATAGATGTAGATGAACAATACCCCCCTAGAACCGTATAGGAAGTTTTCTCCTCATACGGCTCCATAAAAAATGATTTGATTCGAGGTTTTGTCTATGTATGCAATTCTAAATGACTTAAAGACGAAATAAGCCTATAAAATAAATTAGACTCTGATTTCCGGCTTTTTTCTTCCTGAAAATCCAAAGAAACCATTCGTACTCATAACTCAAGTTGTATAACTCTCAAATAGCTCAAAGGAAAAATCTTGAGTCAATTTCATTTCTTGAGTGGTCTTTACACCCTTTTGTTTATCTCGTTTAAGATTCTATTTGGATTCTTTAGTTTTAGTTATTGAGATTCTCAATCCAATTACCAATTAAAAGTGTGTTTCCTTGTTTTTCGATCCTTATTTTAAATCATTGGGTTTAGACATTACTTCGGTGCTTCTTAATCCTTTCAAAATGGCAGCAACATACCCTTTTTTGATTTCTTTCTATCAAAGAATCCCATGGACACCCCGCGATACACTTTAAATGAATCGAAAAAGTTTAACCAATTCAAACAAGTTTTGTTTTTGAATTCGAAACTTGCTCGAATTTCATCCTTTTGATTTCTATCTATCTAAGATAGATTTACGAAGTTATTCCAATTGATTGATTGGCATTTAACCCTAGATACTTATCCCCCAGAAATGAATTAATCCTTTCGGCTCGAGCTCCACCGTGGACTATTTCCAACCCAACAAAAAGAAGGATTCAAGTGTAACAGAACAAACAATGTCGAGCCAAGAGCATCCTCATTCCCAGATAAAGTGAAAATGGTGGATCGAAAAATCCACAACGGATTCTGTCCTTCAAGCCGCACGTTGCTTTCTACCACATCGTTTCAAACGAAGTTTTACCATAATATTTTCCAATAATCCAATTTGGAACCGGTATGGAATTAATTCCATCATGGAATCATGAATAGTCATTGGTTCGAATGTCCATAGACATCGTAATCTAGACTTTGTCTTCCTTATATGATATAAGGGACGATTTTTTCTGAAAAAAAGTCTTAGTAAGACAGCATCTTTAAGATCCATTAATATTAATTAATTAATATATATATTGAATATAATGAGATATATAAACAAATCACTTCTTGAATCTGCATCTTTAAGAAACTGAATAGGATTGATTCAACAATATTGAATTCAATTTTGAATTAATTTGACAAAAATTGGATAATATCTAATAAGGATTTCCTTTCATCTTCTAGGAAGATAGGTCTTTCTTTTTGAATTGATTCATCACTGATTTCATTTAAAATAGATAAAGAGATCAAAGAAAAGAAGAACGAAATCCATTTTTTTTCATAAGATGTATCAAAAAATGATGTAAGTTGGGATTTGAATCTTTATTCTTTTCTTCTTATTATGTTAATAAGAAATAATTGAAAAAAAAAAAAAAAAAAATAAAAATAAAAAACAGGGAAGGATTTTCCTATTTATCAGATAAACTGATTATCAGATAGACTGAGGAGTTGTCACTGGTATAGATATTCTAACAGTATACAATAGAAATTTTCAATAATTTAAGGGATCAAAAATGGTTTTCCAAAAACCAAAAATCTCTTGTCATTGAAATAGAACGATACATACCGTCTAACCGAAACATTTCCTCATTTTAGAGGATTCCATGATATGTATTTTGTTTAACAAGGGATTGAGTAATATTTCAATAATCGGTTCTTGTCATAAGTCATAAAAAAAAGGGGATAAGAAAAATCACCCATACCTCAATCGTTCCATAGATTTCCAATTAGTCAAAGACGAAATATGGTATTTAAATTAACTCTTATCTACTCCCTTACTTCTTTCTAAGGGTAATGAAGCATAAAAAAAGGATCCAATCCACGCTGGGACGGAAGGATTCGAACCTCCGAATAGCGGGACCAAAACCCGTTGCCTTACCACTTGGCGACGCCCCATTTCAATTTCGAATCTACACCAAGAAATAATAATATTGGTATTGGTTTTTTGTCAACTCCAGTCCCAAAATTTCTATATTTATAGATAAATATTAGTACCAATGTTTATCTATAGATATAGAATTCAACAAAATTTCTTGATCATTACATAGAATTCAATTAAGATATTGTATGAAAGTATCATTTCTTCTATTCTCTTTTGAGAATTGGAGAATTTTTTATTGAGTGGGTTCAAAGAAAAAGAAGGGTTTTTTGTCTACCTTACTTCCTTTTTCCTTATATCAAAAACTCAATTAAAATGCAATTATCTCCAAGAACAAAACGCCTGTTATGCTTAATATTCTTAGTTTGATCTGTATTTGTATTAATTCTGCCCTTTATCCGCATTCGAGTGGTTTTTTCTTCGGCAAATTGCCCGAAGCCTACGCTTTTTTGAATCCAATCGTAGATGTTATGCCAGTCATACCTGTACTTTTTTTTCTCTTAGCTTTTGTTTGGCAAGCTGCTGTAAGCTTTCGATAAGATCCTTAAGAATATCCTAAAAAATCCATGATTTCGGCGAGAAAAAATTTGAAAAATTGATAAAATCCGATAATTTTTAGAGTGTGAACCCTCGATTCGCACACTGAAATTCTTGGATAGTCGGCATAAATCCGGCTTATGCTCATTTCCTCATTTTTGATCTTTTTTCCAAGGAAAGACCCTAACCCTATTTAGGGTCTCACACAAAATCAAATTTTTTTATGAAAAGACAATCTTTTTCCTAGAAAACCTCATCTCTTGGTGTTTGGTGTAAAAATAGGATATGTGGTATAAAAACGGAAGATCTATTCTCTTTTT